CTATAAGATTAAAAGTAGCTAAAGTTCTTTTAGTTCCAAATTTTGTGATTGATTTCATGCTCTATTCTTCCATACTAAAGCCATGTATCATCATTTAAAATAAAAAAGTAATACAAAAATAATAAAGATACACATTATTGCTTCTTAAAATATACATAGGTTTAATCTTATTAGGTGTACAAGCATTATATTTAAATCTAACATTTTATTCCTTTATCATAAAATATACAATTATCATAATCATTTTTTTTAAATAACTAGAAAGAGAAGCATGATCCCTCCCTTTTTTTTTCTTTTCTTTTTTGTATTTTATATACTAATTTAAAAATAACTCATGAAATGCATCAAGTGATTTTATAGTAAAGTAAATAGGTTTTGGTTGAGTCATTTACCTCATTGTCGAAAGCCACCAAGGCATAGTTCGCCACATCTTCTTTGTTAGTTTGCATATCGTCTTCGAATGTACTCGAATAATCCCAAGTCACCTTGAATACTTTCTTCTTCTTTTGTAGCTTCTTCTTCACTTATAGACATTCGCTTTTGAAGTGCCCTGATCGATTACATTCATAGCAAGTTGTTTTGTCCTTTTTAAGTTCAATTTTATTTTTTGATTCTTGTTTTATAAACATTTTAAATTTACTTGTGAGGAGTTCAAAGTTATCATCACTTGAGTTTTCACCCGAGTGGTCTTCATTTATTCTAAGTTCTAAATCCTTCATGTTCTTTGGAAGGTTATTCTCAAGTTCATTAAATTCTATATACGTCATTTCATAGGTCATCAAAGACCTGATAAGTTTTTCAAGCAAAAAGTTATTTAGGTCAGTTGCTTATTGTATTACAATTACTTTCGAATCCCAATTTTTAGAAAGTGATCATAAAACTTTATTAATAAGTTTAAAATTTGAAAAACATTTGCTAAGGCCTTTTAAACCATTGATGATATTTGTAAAACTGGTGTACATGTCAATAATGGTTTTCATTGGCTTTATTCGAAATAATTCAAAATTATGCATCAAAAGATTAATTTTAGAATCTTTAACACTACTTGTGCATTCATGTGTGATTTCGAGTATATGCCAAATGTCATGTGTAGTTTCATAAATTGAAATATGATTAAACTTATTTTTATCTAAAGCGTAAAATAAAACATTCATAGCTTTAGCATTCAAAGAAAAGTCTTCTTCTCCAAATCATTATATTTTTTCATTAGTTTGGAAGACTTTTCAAACTCATTTTCAATGATATTCCATAAATTGAAGTTTATAGAAAGCAAGAAAATCCACATGCGAGTTTTCCAATATGTGTAGTTCGTTCCATTGAACATAGGAGGACGAATGATAGAATAACCTTCTTGAAAGCCGAAAAAAGTCATCTCTCTTGGGTGTTAAATCAAATAGAAAGAAATGTGACTCTAATACCAACTGTTAGGACCGAAATCATAAGAGGGGGGGGTGAATTAGTGCTTACAAAAAATTACGTCAATTCAAAAATATCATTCGATAAAGCTTGTATTTAAAAGATGAGTTTAACTTGAAAGCACATTCGTAAGTGTAGTAAACGTAGTAGGCAAGTAATCAGTTTATAATATAAGAATGAAAAGCAAAATAGAAATGCAAACTGAGTACATCAAATTTATAGTGGTTCGGTCGTCGTGACCTATGTCCACTCCTGATTCCTCTTCACTCGAGGCCACCGGCTTCCACTACCGATCTTCTTTCTAAAGGGCGAAGATCAACTACCCTTACACTCTTTCTCCTTTTCACAAATTTAGGAGAGAACCTTTGCACCCCTCTTTTACAAGTGTTCCTTCACACACCTCCCTTAGGACTATCACTTAGTTCTAGGAGGAGGGACTCTACACTTTAAGATATTACAACATTGGAATTATAGAGTTTTTGTTCTACTTTCATGTATATTTTAAGCAGGAATTTGTGAGGTATTTATAGACCCCAAATGACTTCAAAAATTGGAGCCAAAATTTAAATCCTTGGGTTTCCGGGGTATTGACGGTACCACCACTAGTATTGGGTGGTACCATCGCTTGACAGACTGATAACTGATGGTACCATCGCTTGTCAATTTGACATTGGGCAGTACCACCGCTTAGTCTAACACTAACACTAGGCGAAACCATCACCCAATCTGGTGATACCACCGCCTAACACGGTTTGGAAGACTGTGTTTGGGTGGTACCACTGCCAGACCCTACTACAGGATACTAAATGGGTCAAATAGTGTGCCCAATTCAGCCCCGATTCAGACCCAATTGGCCCCTAATCAAGTTAACATGGTAACACCTAAAACTAACTTAATTAGACCTAACTAACTCAATCTAGACACACATGATTATAAGCATGAATCCTATGTTGTCCGGCATGTCATTGGTTCATTTAGCGCTTTGTTCGATCCTTTCAGCATATCGTCCTCTCTTGCAATGTATTCCCCAATCGGCATATTGACCTCACAACATCCGATCTCCTTGGTGCAATGTCAATCCTTTTGGCCCGATGCCAAAATTCATGGCATGGAGTCTTCTGCCGATACGTCGACCGATCCTCCTGCTCGACGTCCAATCTTCTGATATATTCCACTCCGACCCAATGTCCAATTCCTCTTACTTTAATTGATTTACCTTTTTTGATCGAAGTTAGTCCCGCATCACTCAAAACACATATTATATCGTAAACTCATCAATTGATTTCATCATCAAAATCCGAGATTTAACATAAGAAACATGGTCTTTCACTAAGATCTTCATTTTTTTAGTGAAGTCTAAGTATAAGTTTAATTCATTATAAAATAGTGGTCATATAAATTATCATATTCATAATGTATTTTAGAAAGCATGTTTAGAATGATGTGATTATCATGAGCCAAGCATAAGTTAAATGTGAATGTATATATTTTGTAAGAATAAAAATATATGACTTACGATAAAAAATCTTTTATATATATATATATATATATATATATATATATATATATATATATGCATATATGATGACGTGTGGTTTGGGAGTGCATGTGTTTTCTATTACGTATAGTGTATAAGTGTACAAATATATTATGATGTACAATGTATGTATATACTATGATATATGGTGTGAGAGTGCACATATGTATTATGATATACAATGTGAGAGTACATGTATATATTATGATATGTGGTGTGGGAGTTCACGTATATATTATAACGTATAGTGTGAGAGTGTACGTATATATTATGACATACAAAATGAGAGTGTACAGTAAGTATATATTATGACATACGATATGAGAGTACATATATATATAGTACGATGACATGTGGTGTGGGAGTGCATGTATATATTATAATATGTAGTATGGGAGTGTATGTATATATTATAACATAAATATTAGATTGCATAATACGTATATATTATGATATACGATATGAGAGTGCACATATATATTACGATAACATGCGATGTGGGAGTACATGTATATATTATGATATGAGGTGTAGAAGTCTGTGAATTTATTATGTTTCCTACATATGTATATAAGCATTTTGAATTATTTCGATGTAGAATATTTTCTTTTTATTTTGGATATATTATGTTATAGGGTTATGCTTGCTAAAGAATCCGATGAGAGGTTTAATGTTAAATGTCTTCTGTCGATGATTTTAAAATATTGTAATATGATATATTCTCACTTAAATAAAACTATAAAGATTTATACTTACTGAGTGATTATTCACTATAGACCCTATTTTACAAGTAAAGATACTAATTACCCATCTAAGTGATTGGGTAAGAAAGTAAAGACATGCGAGCCTATACTAATGCAAATATAGATGACGACCTATGGATATTTATATTTATATAACTTTTGAACAAATATGGGTATGTTTTCTTTTAATTAGATGTTATAATTATGTATAAACTCTTTGACATATTATATAATATGAGATTAAGTTATGATAATAAATATGCTTTTGTAGGGTCAGGAGGATTCATAATATATAGTGACACATCCAAAAATGGTCTAGGATGTGTTTTGATGCAGAATAACAAAGTTATAGGTTATGCCTCAAAATAACTAAAACATTATGAGAAGAACTATCCGACCCATGATTTAGAGTTGACATTGATAATGTTTGCCTTCAAATTTTGATGACATTATCTTTATGAGAAGAAATATAAAATATACATTGATTATAAAAACTTAAAATATTTTTTTACTCAAAAGGAGCTAAACATTAGGTAGAGAAGATGATTGAAGTTAGAAAAGATTATGATTATGTGATCAATTATTATCTTGGGATTAAGTCATAAGTCAGTAAACTTAGCTATTTTATTAATGGTTCAAATACCTCTTCATGTACATATGCAAAAATTTGATTGATAGTGTTGTTATAAGTTAATGACTCTTATTTGATTAAGATTAAGGTAATAAAAAAAAATATTTTTACATTGATAAAAGAGTAATAATATTTTGGGATAGATTATGTGTAGTAGAAGAGCATGACATAAAACAAGAAATTTTAATATAGATCTATTTATTTTTATGCTGAGTGCATCATGAATACAAAAATCTAAAAATATAATAATTAAGATATAAAAAATCTAAAAAATTAATACTGATGATAATTTATGTTTACTTTGCGAACGATGTAGAGCCCGGAGATACTGTAGCCGATCACCTGACGCCTTTTTGATCAGAGATTTCCTGAAACCTAATTGTTGCGATTCTAATGTCGTACTTCTCTCTCTGATGCTCTCAACAACCTAGATTTTTTTTGTCTGAAATGAAATCGGAGTCAAATGAGAGCTTCCGTGTACGTCACTGACGTGAACAGCTTCCGTGTTACCTCATGAATTCGGCACGTACGTCCAACATTTATATCGATGACGTGTTGTCCTGATTGGGTCCCAACCCCACGTGATGGGGAATGTGCCAGTGGCTTCCATGTTGGAGATGCTGGGTGGTGTTGGGGTGGGGAGGGGGGCGTACGCTTCCCTACCCGGAGCGCATAGATTGTAGGTGGTTTGCCATGGCCGAGACAGACAGCGAGATGCAATCAATTCGATCATGTGCAACTGCAGTGTTGAGAATATAAACAAGGTTGGAGACGGAACAAAATCCTTCCGGTTATCTAAAGTGCGGGCTTGCGTCTGCTAGTTTTTTGCTGTTAGTTACTGGTCACATGTGGTTGGATTGGGCGGAGGGGTAAAAAGTTAGGCAGTGCGGAGAGCCAGATTTGTGAGCTGGGGTAAAAGGGGCTGTATCTCTGGCGTTGACCCTTGATCGTCGGCTGCTGTTGAGGTGCTGCAGCAGGAGGATAGAAATTGAGGTTTCCCCTGTGCCGGGGGAGGTTGATTCCGCCATGGCCGCAGGTTTCGTGGTCTGCTTCTTGTTTGGTGGGGTCAGGGCAAGATGATCGCTGTGTCCGTTCCTTCTCCCTGGCCCCTGTCACTGGAGAAGAGCTGCCTAGTTCTGGGGGGTACAGCTTGTTGCTGCTTCGAAGATACATTTGGACAGACCCCAGAAGTAGGAGGAACAAAGGGTTGCCGATGGAATTCCACGGTTGGGTTCTCTTAATTTGTCGAGGTTGCTTTCTGTATCCGTTCTAGTCCCAGAAATCCTTGTTTGAATGATTTGGAGCAGCTTGGTCCCATATTCCATGCGTGCATATTTAGCTACATCTTTGGGGTTTCCTGCCATGGCTTAAGCTTGAGATTGTTGCCGTCATGGGAAGCCAAACCAAGACCATAGTTTGGTTCAGGAGGGACTTGAGGATTGAGGACAACCGGGCCTTGGCGACCGCCGCCAAGGATGGTCGTGTCCTCCCGGTTTTCGTATGGTGTCCGAGTGAAGAAGGGCAGTTCTTCCCTGGGCGAGTCTCTCGGTGGTGGCTGAAGCAGTCGCTCGAGCACCTCGACCAGTCGTTGAGGTCCCTCGGTGCTCCCTTCGTGTTCATCCGAGCCGAGAGCACTCTTGCTGCTCTTTTGCAGTGCATTGGTACGGTTGGGGCTACCAGACTGGTTTACAATCATCTTTATGGTAAGCTGTCTCTTGAATTGAATACTCACCCCCCCCCTTTTTTTTGTTCTTTTTTCTTTTTGGGAGATTCTCCTTCGTTTAGGGTGTATACATCATCTTGCTAAATTCAAAATTTTCATGAACGATTTAGTGACGCGAACACAGTGGACAAGGCTCCCGCCAGTGCGGCGTCTATATAGGGTCATTGTTTTAGCATTAAGGAAACTCAAATTCTTGTCTCTGTGCTCCACAAGAGTTACTTGTGTGAGAACAGGATTATGCCTTAGGAAAGCATTCTGTATCTCCCAATTCCTTTTAATCTCTCTCTTAATTTTCCTCACATGTAACTCTGTTAAAATGTTCCAATGCAATGCAGGTTGTTCCCATTACTCGGACCCTGATCACCCAGGTTTCAAAAGAAAAAAGAAAATCTTATAGTTGTACCGACACTCGCTCTCAACACAAAAATTCTCTTTCTTTTTAATTATCCACCAACCTTTGTGCTTGGTGTTCTTCTTGCTGCACCCCTTTTCATCACCTTTTTGTGCAATTCCATCTTGATTCATATGTTACTGTTGGAAAATGATGTTTTCATTCAGTGATTGGATAAACTGTTTTATAGGATCCTGGAACTTTGGCTCTAAAGTTACTTGAGAGAATTAGTGACCTGAAGCATGAAATCTAATTCATCGATTCTTATTGTCTCTCCAACAGTTCTTTTTTAACAAATCTAAACAATAACGACCAAGTTATGCAAGTCTCCATAGATGAGTATTAGGCCTCTGCAAAAGGACCTATTTGTTCTAATGACGGTCGCCGCTTAACTTCTTCATGTTTCAAGTGGATATTGCAGATATTCCTCCATGGAGTTACCCTAATGGGCTTCTAAGTGTCCAAATAATTCTGATTCTTGCTCAAATCACAATCATTAAACCCTTTGGTGGTTAAGACCGGTCCATAAAATACTTGTTTATGACTGTGTCAATTGTACTCTTACAAGCATATGAATAATCATCTGTAGATAACCATGTAAAAGGACTCCTAGATCGATTGTGATAAAAGAAACTGAACTAATATTGGCTTAGTCTAAACCCCGAAATAGACCGCATCAATTTGCTTCCACTGTGAATTCACATGATCTCTCAGAACATGGTGAATTGTTGTTGGTTACCAATGATCCCTAGGCTCATTTGTCATAACCTGGTGATGGTCATTTCTTAATCTTCTACGAAATCATTTTTGGATTCATATATGCACCACATTCATCTTGGATGTCATTGAGCTTGCCTTTAATATTGCAACCACTCGAATTGTCAAGATTTGGCTTCCCATGATAAAATATCAAGGAGAAGAATAGAATGATAGAAGATCACATCTGAAAACCAATGTTCGAAGAGATGAAGAGAATTGTATTTGTCCCAAGTTTTTCTTGGCTGGCTTTTATATCATTTGATGCAAGTCATGTAATTAGTGCTACGACACCTCCAATTAGGTTTTCTAGCTATCATATGCAGGAAAAAAAATCAAAGAAGCAAATAAATAAATTATAATTCAAAAAAATATAATTTTCTCCAAGGATTGAAATATCGTATCGTACTAGAGTTTCAAGATTCGCTCGGTATAGTATGGTACTGTATATATACCGAGCCATATATCGTCCGGTAGCAGGCGGTCCGTGTACCAGTCTGCTGGTGGACCGATACGGGTGGTATTATTCGAAATTGAAGATCTTATTTTTTCCTAACATAAATGAATGACTTCTCATGCGTAAGACTATTCATGTCCTACCAAATGTTCCAGAAGGCATAGAATTAACAGTACACAAATGCATCATACATTCTTTAACCAATATTATAAGAAATCCAATTCTGAAAATTGCAAATGTTAAATAAGATTTTGAGTAAGTTGTTTGCCTAGCTATCTGCTAAGGTTATTATTCTAGCTAATTATGGTATGATGAACATAGTTTTTAAGTTAGAATTATGAAGAAAAAAATACCAAAGATGTTGGAGATAATAGGATTAAGCAACATATGCATGCTCCACTTTGAAGGCATGGTTATATTTCATTGCCAAGAAATATGAAAATTTTTTTAAAACCCTTATATCTAAATGCATTTTTATATAATGCAGGATTGAAATACGAATATTATTTAGAAAATCAGAGCACCATGACCATCTATTACATCCTTTGAAAGTGATCTGAACATAATATGACTATAACCAATTTTCTGTTGTTTGTATAAATTGCTTGCACAGAAAATGGCCTATATTTGATGTATCAATTGTTATTAGCATGACAGGCCAAAACACGAATGGAGTCTGGAAAGCAGAACTTATCTTTGTGCTTATTCACTTAACAAGCCACTAGGCATGCCATGTTATTGAAAAATTTTGCACAATAAATGTGTTGGTAGCAAATGGCTTCTGTCGGTTCACATCCAGTACTTTTATCAGTGCTGTATGGTACTATGTCGAAGAACTTTAATTCTACCATGCAGCTTCTTTTGAACGTTGGATTTTCTTTTGCATTTACACCTTAAAGAATTTATATTACCTTGTTGTTCAGATCCTGTTTCACTTGTCCGTGATCATAAAATAAAAAGTCAGCTAGAGACCCTTGGAATCAGCGTGCAAAGTTTCAACGGTGATCTCTTGTATGAACCATGGGAAATCTACGATGAAAGTGGGCTTGCTTTTACAACCTTTGATGCATATTGGTCCAAGTGCATGAGCTTACCAATTGAACCGACATTGCTTCTTCCTCCCTGGAAGTTGGTCCCACTTGAAGGTAAAATTTATGTATCTAATCATATTAGTTGGTGTTAAGATTTTGTTTCCATTTTTGGATTTGTCACTATGAGCCATATTTATTTTGCAAATTTATCCTGTAATTATGATTTGACCTAACAGGTCAATGGTAAGTTAGGATTGTTAAATGATAATTGAGCTTCTAAGGATCTTAGTTCGTCTGATACAACCCCAGAGCTTGCTTGTCTTAAGCTATTATTCTCATGGTTTTGCTTTCAGCACCTACAACAACCAAGCATTATAAATTTCACTGCCAGGTAGGACCTCAGGGGCCTGAACTGCACTCCTCATTCAGCTTGTTATGTAAAGGTGCTTTTATATTTTAGCTGTTGATGGCCTCGACAATTAGGGGAAGGCGGACAATCTTATCCAGCCATTGGTGGAGCAGCATCTATCCTAGTTATTAAATTTGTTTTTCTAGTTGGAGTCAATTGGCTAACAATAAATGATTGTGCTACATTATGATGTGTAGCGAGGTTATGGGCTTTCCTTACATGAGGCTAATTTAGTCTGATTATTGTAGGCACATTAGTTTTTTATTCAATTTGGTTATATGGCATCAGCACCCACAGCTCCTGCAATTTGTTCTTTAATGTAAACATGATAACTTGTGACTAATGGATAAGAGATACCCTTTCAGTCCTGTCATTTCTCATGACAAGATATTTCATGGGAACTTCTCCATGTAGAAATTATTTCATGGTTTTCACTATATAATAAAGACTATTCTTTTGTCCCATTTTCTTTTAACAGGCACAGGAAGTGTTGTAAGCTGTCCAATTGAGGAGCTCGGGCTTGAAAATGAAATAGAGAAATCAAGTAATGCATTATTAAGCAGGTGTTGGTCCCCTGGGTGGAGCAATGCAGACAAGGTGCTAAGTGAATTTATCAGTGGGCATCTACTAGATTATTCGGAAAACAGAATGAAGGTAGAAGGCACCACTACTTCGTTGCTGTCACCGTATCTTCATTATGGTGAGCTCAGTATCAGGAAAATATATCAAAATGTCAGAATCAAACAAATACAGTGGGCAAAAGAAGGAAACTGTAGAGCAGAAGAGAGCGTGAACTTCTTCCTGCGATCAATTGGTCTTAGAGAATATTCACGTTATCTTTGTTTCAACTTTCCATTCACGTATGAGCGATCGCTCTTGGGTAATCTAAAGCACTACCCTTGGCGAGCTGATGAAGGTCAGTTTAAATCTTGGAGACAGGGTCGGACTGGGTACCCCTTGGTGGATGCCGGAATGAGGGAACTTTGGGCAACTGGTTGGATACACAACAGAAGTAGAGTGATTGTAGCAAGTTTTTTTGTGAAGTTTTTGTTACTTCCATGGACCTGGGGACTGAAGTATTTTTGGGACACATTGCTGGATGCTGACTTGGAAAGCGACATCCTTGGCTGGCAGTATGTGTCAGGTAGCTTACCTGATGGTCATGAGCTCAAACGTCTCGACAGCCCTGAGGTATGCATCCTTTAATATCTACAGAGAACTTTTATGACTGAATATAAACAACATGACCAGCCATTCGTTTATTTACTCTAGCTTTTTGAAAAGCTTTATTCCATATTACATATTGTAGGACTCTCAATCTTAATATTGTTTAGATGATCTTATGTGGATATCGTGCATATTCACCATTTATAGATCAAATGAGTGTTATGGCCATCTGCAGTTGCTTTGAACACTCGACTGAGGTTTAAATTTGTTCATCCATTCATCTTCGTGAGCAGATTCTCCCAATGTTTTGGGGTCAGTTGATTTACCTTGACAATAATATGTATGATTAAGGCAGCGAGTTTCAGAGATGCATGTTAATAGTTGTATGTTTCATATTTACATGTATAGAATCCAAGTATTAGTTTTTGCAAAAACATTAGAAAGTTTTTGTTCAAGAAATTTACCAAGCTGAAATGTGCATATATCGAAAGCGTGTGGCCAGAATTTTTAGGTAATTATTAAAAGGTGAACTTTGAATGGGTATACATTCATATGTGGGATAATTTTTTGTGAAAATTCGCAGGAGATATATCAATTATAATTTTATCCACTGGTTATCATTTAATGACATTAGTCAATATACTTTATGGAATATTTGATGTTAGATTAACATCATATTTGAATCTCATTTGTGGTGTTGCAACCAAAGTCTTCAATTTCGAATAATATTGTCCGGTACCGGTGGTACATACCGATCCATCAATAGACCGCCCGTTACCGGACAGTATATATATTATATATATATATTATATTATATATATATATATTATTATATACCGAATGGTATATCGTTCGGTATATAGTATCGTACTGTACCGTACCGAACAAATGTCGAAACTCCGGTATGGTACGATATTTCAATCCTTGGTTGCAACTAATCCTAAAATTTCAAGTTTCTCTCGATAATGTTGCACGTTATAATTATGGTGTTGTCCCATTTGTCGCTTTGATCTTTAGTTTGCTGTGACACTTTCTCTTTCAAGATTTTTTTTTGGTCTTCATTTCTATATTAGGTATAAGCTTTTAGATGATGGCTGATTTATTCAATCATGTATTGATTATTTAACCAAAATAATAAAACTTCAATGTAAACATGATTTGTTATGGAATTTTCTTCCATACACACAGCAAAAAAGTTTTTTTTTCTTCCAAGAAAAATACTAGTCAATTTTGTTGACAGACATCATTTTTTTGATAGAAGCCATCATTTAAACTTGGAATCAGGTTCAGGGACAGAAGTATGATCCAGATGGTGAGTATGTAAGAAATTGGATTCCAGAACTTGCTAGAGTGCCAACTGAATGGATCCATCATCCATGGGATGCTCCAAGGACTCTGCTTAAAGCATCTGGTGTTGAGCTAGGATTGAACTACCCACAGCCCATTATAGAATTTGATACAGCAAGGGATCAACTTGATGATGCTGTCAACATGATGTGGCAACTTGACAGGGCTTCAAGAGTTGCAAAATTAAGTGGATTGGAGGAAGTTGTAGCTGATAATTTGATTAGTTTAAACACTTTAGACATCCCAAAAGTCATTGTGAAGGAGGAGGTTTTTTGCAGTAGTTCATCTCTTGATCAAAAAGTGCCCTCTTTACACAACATGAAGGATAGCTCCATAAAAAAGAAACCAAAGGATGTCAGTGGAAAAAGATCTGACCTAGTCGGCTCATGTTCTCCCATGAATATTTTGGAGAAGTCGAAGATCGATGTTGACTTGCTTTCGACAGCCAAATCCTCATCTGCAAGGAAAAGAAGCATCAGTGAAAGTCAGTGTGCTGTTCCAATTTGTTTCTCTACAGGATGTACAGATCCTTGTCAAGAATACGATTCAGTGGACCAAAATTATTCAAACACGTCTCATTCTGATCATCCTTGTCAAGAAACATATCAAATTGGAGAAAAAAAGGTAGTATGGGATTGACTTTCTCAGTTCACAAAATACCGCTTTGTGATTTATTGTCCAAATATTATTTAATTGCAAATATTTATTCCACCGCATGCTGTAGCATTCAAAAATTTTTGTACTCATCAATCCATCTTCGTAATATAAAACCAAATTGAATAACCTACCCTCATGCCAGCTTTCTAGATTTTTCCCCTTGAGATGATACTTATCTATGGATGGTGTGTGTATTCCAGCTGATTGCAAATAAGATCATTGTATGTATATTTCTGATGTAGTAATTCATGGCTGTTAATTTTGTCAAGAATTTTGTTAGTTAGAATCTAATCTTGTGCAAATAATCTAAAAATGTAATAAATCAGAAAGTTTCTGTATTCTAGTATCACGACCTTCAACTTTACAGATCATGAATTTGTAATATAACTATAATTATAATTTGTCATAATGTCTTTCAAATCCTTTTTTCTGATGTATGCATACCGTTGTTGAAACAGGAAGAAGAGGATTTTGATGCTCAAAGCAGCCTTGAGGGATCGAGACCATGCAAGAAAACTGCATAGCTCAAACGGGTAATACAAAGGTCGTTGCTCTGGTGTATGTTAAAGGCTTAATATTTTGCCTTCTATTTGTATTATGTTAGAGGAGATGCACTCATCTAGAGAGTTTTGTATCCACTATTTCTCTGTTTGTTAAAATAAATTTTTGGAAATTTGGACATCTAGAACCTTTTCATACATATGCCTCATTGACCTGAAAATCACTCTTAGTTTATCTGTATATAGTAATACTTGTATCTACTACATGGAATGTTGGTCATAGATTATTCTGAGAACCTAAAGCATGACCCTTGTTCCTGCATTTTGCTGTAAATTTCTGAATTTGATAGCACAGAATCATAGCTGCAAAAAAATGAAAGGTGGATGGTCCTGTTATGGATAGCCTGGCATGATCTAGTATTAATTGATTAGGTAAAGAAAGAAATTACTAAGGCAAACTTATCTTGGTAACTGAAGCTAATCTCTAGCATTTTGCTTTTTGATGTAACTGCATAATGGAAAATCTACACTTTGCTTACTTCATCAATAAACTGAAAATTTCTTTGAATTCTTCCAGAAAGCTGGAGAGAAAAGCTTGTGTAGTAGTAGGATAACCATGTAGAAAATTGAGAAGTATAGCAATTATCAGCTGAGGAAATCATAGTTCTAAGAAGCTTTGTGTTGATGGTGCAATTAATCTAGCATTTTATTGTTTGATTTACTTGTGATGCAGTCTTAATCCAAATTCAGTAGGGTGAAAGAAAAATCAGAAGGAACAAGTGGGCTAAATTGCTGTGATGTTCAACAAATAAAATTTATTGATGTTTATGTATGTCGCTAAAAGCCTTAAGGGTCGATCCTTCATTAATCCTATGCTAAACGGATCTAATGGAAGTCAAACCGTCAATGAAGCCCCAACAAAAAGATCAAATAGAATATATACTAGGCAAAATGGGTAGACTCTGACAAAAACTAATTGCACTCTGATGGAAACTCTATCGAAACCTTAATCGAGATCTCACAGTACCAGAGAACAGAAACTAATTTTGCATGTGCTTTCAATACTGAATTCTTGGCCTTTATGGGTTTCATTGTGATGTTGGTGAAGCACTCATGTTATATCAACTTCTATCTATCGATCTGTTGACTTTTTGAATTGACTTGAATTGCTTTTGTTCATTAAATACTCAATCATGTGCTATTCAATCCTAGTGATAATATGTGGGCAAGCTGTGATAATTACTTTTGTGTTGATATCTTGCTAGCGTTGAAGTGCTTAATGCTCAAGGATGGAAGTGCAGTCTGGGGAGGTTGTAGGCTACAGTTGGAACAATAAAGGGGATGGAAGCTGCAATTGTGATTTAGACGCAGAGGCCAATGGTGATCGAAATATTTTCATCTCTATGCTGCTCTCTTGAATCCAGCTGAATCCATCTACAGTTCACCACTGCTGCTTGCAGATCTAATTTTAACTCATTCCATGTGCTTACACCTCCTGATGTACATATCTCAATGATATATTCAAATGAAGGCATTCTCATTTTTGTTTAGATAAGCTGTGAGATGAGGCTTGGAAACCTTTGTGTATTGGATCCCTAAGTGTAATATTTATCTAATGGTGGCATATGCCAACCTATGCAAATGTTGTTTCGTGCCCTACTTTTCTTTCTAGTTCTCTATTTGGCTTGCATGTAATTGTTTTGTTGCCACAATTACCTCACTGAAGTTCTCTAATAAGTCTTGATGATCCCTCAGCTGTATGCATTGGACTTGACAGATTGTAGCCATGCACAAGAGCCATGTAACACAGAGCTCCTTAGATTTATGATCTATTACTTATAATTCTTGTTATCATGTAGTTACATCTCTTATTATTCCGGTCTCTAGACTTAAAAAATTTATATTAAAATCTCTATATAGTTAGACCTTTTTAGTATTCCGATCGTTGGCTTCAAAAATTTATATTGAAATTTCTATAATTATGTTAGTGAAACATTTAATTTCATTTATCCTAACATCGGATGTTAGGTTTTACCGATAGAAGATATAACATATGATAACACGTGTATTAATAGTACAAAAATGATAGATAGAAAAATAATTTTAACAATGGTGATGAACGGTAGTGTTGTGGGTGACTGTTATGGTGGTAGTCGATGAGAATAATACGATGGTTGACCTTATTGATATTACAAATGTTATAAAAATAATGGACAAAAAGATAATTTTGACTCGATCTATATTTTTTGTCAGTATAATCAATGATATTAAGATAAATAGGACATAATTATGGAGATTTTAATATAAATTTTTGAAGTATAAGAATCAGAATATTAAAGAGATAGGAAAGAGGTCGAATGAATAAAATATCTACACTCTAAAAAATGTGGTACGTGCCCTGCCATATGTCACAGGATCATCTTTATTGCACGCTTATAACACCCAGACTTGCAAAATATAATTTGTCATTTCACTTTTGGCTAAATTGAAAAGATTAAGACTTCATCATAATAGTTACGAAAACTGTGTAGGTTGTATTTGATGGGGTTAATTTGCATGTAGAAGTCCTCTTCCAAGAGAATCAAGTCGCTTGCTCCATGGTTCTCGAGCAGCTTGATCATCTAAATGTTTTCACATACCCTAAGAAACGAAGCATATCAAGAGGTGACTGATGATAGTGAGGATTAGACTATAGCATTGCCCCAAATACATGCTCACAGTTTACCACAAAGATTTTTGAAGTATAAGAACTAAATGTTTCATTTTCATAATTAATGCTGATCTCCAGTAAATATTCTTTACTTCATCATAGTTTAATGCTGATGAAGCCCTTTTATTTAACACAGTTTACCAAAAGGTTGATAACACAAGAAAAACAGCAAGTGAAATAATGAGCATCACTCCAAGTTTCAGGGCCTATGCTGGTTGAAACTGCATAAAGAAAGTTATAAGCAGAATGCCAAAAACTTTAATGAAGTCCAATGGCAACATCAGCAACACAGCCATCACAATAGAAATTAACTATATATAATTGTTAATCAACTAAAAGAAAATGCTAAAAACCAACTATTATGATTCAAGCAAAAAATAAAACCGTAGGATACCAAGCATGAAAATATTAAAATCAAGTAGTCTATACCATGAATAGCATATTGGTCAACACTCACAAATAGACTCAGTGCATCAACTCGCACACAAGCACCCTGCAAACTGAACTTGTTCCATGCCGTGAAGAAAAGAACAAGAAAACATAAACTCCACCATAGAATGCAGGAAAACTGGAATAAAAATATACTCCAGCAGCTGGTTCTTCACTGTTTTGGGATGGTTATTCAAACAAAACATAACATGAACTGGTTCAGGTTCCACCGCTTCTGGGTAGTAATCCTTTCAAGAGACGCTTGATTTGTCCTTGAACTGACACCACAAACTATAACAAGTTTTTCCTTCATACATCAAGGAGGAGGCTGAACTTCCAAGCAATGGGGATCAGCATTATAGCAGATGCCAGAGAAGCCCCAAAGATTCGATGGGAAATGGAAAATGTTGCACGCAGCTGTGGCTTCTTCACCGGAAGATGAGGTGACAAGGGACGGTTTGAAACAACTCTTGTAGATTCAGCCAAGGTGCGGGTTACATGGATGGCTCGGTTCCCATAAATTGAGATCTTTCGCTGAGGAGACTGCAAAAGAATACTACAGTCATAAGGGAGCTTCGTTATAGTTCTAGAGCCCCTAGGAAGCTCAAGATTTGGTAGTTTCTGGTGACCCCATTCCAATCTTGGGTATCCTGAAGTACCATTGAGAAAACCTGAAAATATTGAAAGTAAAGCCTATCACGACCATATTGAAGTTCTTTCTACGTGTATCTTGAAGAGCTAATGGCACATACAAACACATCCGACGACCATTACACATTAAAGGAAGCCCAACGGCACAAGCACAGTATTGTAAGCTAGCTCAACTGACCAAATAGGCCACATTGAGTTTTGGTCGATGAAACATTATCAGTAAACAGCTGCCAACCATACTCTAGCTAAATCAGTCAAGAGAAGAAGAATGCAAGGTTAATGCACGTAGTGATCCATGCTTATGGGTTGCACCCTGGGGTGGCAATTCATTTTGGATAGGTGATTATTGAAAGAGTCTATGAGGTATCAGTTCATGCCATTCACATGGTGCACTTGGATTGATTTGATCTGTGTAAATGACCATTCATGATATAGGGAAGTTTTGTATCAAACTTCAATCTAAATGTAATCATAGACCACCTATATATGCAAGGTTTATCTTGTCTGGTAAACAATGAGTGTTTCACATACCACGAAGTGCAAATGAAGAATCAGCATGAACTGCAAAACGAGAATTCTTCTCCATTTTTTTTCCTGTCATGCAAAAGTTATGTCCCAGTAAGATTATATGAAATACACTAATAACCAGCAGTCTGAATACAAGTACTTTGTATTAATATACACCATGAGCAAAATAAAAGAAAATTTTATTGCACAAAAAAATAAAAAATGGATTCATATGCTTATCCAAATATTTAGTTTTACAGGATACAATAACAATATCTAAGGATACTCAGTTCTTTTTAACTTACTGGTACATTAATGATCTTGTGCTACAGTGAGATTACTCTTAGAGGCTAATCAATATGTTTTCCATCTTCTACACAATTGGTCAATTTCCTTGACTTTCAGAAACCAACTATTCAGAAGTTAATAATATAAATGTTATGATTCAACTCTAGCTTTGAATGATCCCACAATTCACTTGTTTGACATGAATGCCAAAGCATAAGGGTGATGAACAAATGAAGCCTTTTATAAATGTAGTTGCAACTACATAATCATATAACCTAAAAAAACTTATTTGATCATTTCCCATTAAAGAAAAAGAATTTTGCAAAACAAGTAAAAGTTTAATATGAAAATATTCGTCCAAACTACGTTTCAATCGCAGACATGCCACTAATTTGCGTTTCGTTTTGAAATTAAGTGCTTCTGTTGTAATCCTTTTTCCTGGCCATTGCCAGATATGTAGATGACGGCAATATCATCTTCTAGATAAACGTTTACAGTACAGAGTTCAGCTACGCTTCTTATCAGATGAAATCACATCATAGACATGTTTTTATGAGAAATCATGAGTAGAAAACATTACAAAAAAAATTGTCACAGCTGATTGCCCGTTTTGGAGGAATCAGTCGTCCATCTAAAACGAACAGTAAATCTTGAACGGGCTATCATCCGACCGCCTAGAATGAAGCTGTATCATCTTTACCAACGTTTTTGTTATTTTAGTAGCATTTAAGCTTTATAGTGTTAAGAAGAAATAAAAGTAAATCTCCAGGTTCGTGAGCTGATCCCCGACATGATCTAACCAAAGATCCTCGGTGATTAAAAACGAGAATATCGCGATTTGACAACATCGGCGGCTCCAAGATGAGCATCGATTTAATACCGTAAACTACGATTTAAAGAGTAGGCCGATCCGGATAGGTTGGGATCGATGAGGACATCACCGAATCGGACGGCCCAACACCGTGACGAAGCAGATGTCCATACCGACCGATCAAATCAGCCCACCCGACCAACACCCAAGACGAGGAGGAGGAAGAGGAGAAGACTTACTGGAATCCGGCGAGAATGAGAACTGAAGAGCGAGGCGATTCCTATGTGTCGCTGTCGCTGGAGGAGACTGGAGAACGATGAGGGTTGTTAGTTTAAAAGGGGCAGAATCTCCTGCCCCAATTTGCCCTTCCGTTTTCTTTTTTTTATTTACTGAAGCAAAAAGACGAGCATTTTGCGTTAAAAAAATCTCTTGAACTTTTATTGAATGATTTTTTTTAAATTAATTTTTACTTGATATATTTTTTATTAATTTCATAAAAATACTGTCAGCCCTTCACCAACCATCGACGATCGCATTTTCTTGTTATGATAGGCTCAATAGATAGACGAAAGCAGAAGCCGAAGGCATCAATGACGGAGGCAATGATAGAGGCCCAGATGCTCTATCAATTCCATAAAAATACTGTCAACTCATAATTTTTAGGCCGAGAGGCTCTATCAATTTTTAATATGCTCACTTACTATTTGATTTCTAAAAATATCATTCTTAGTATTATTGAAATGTTAGTTAAACGCATATAAATATTAAAGTAAGAAAGTTTAAGTTTTAAACGTCATTTATACTGAGGATAATAAATTTCTTAAGCATTAATGAAATAATAAAAAATTAACTAGAGATACAAATCGAAGGAGAGTGTTGTACTAAAAATGTTGAGGTATATAAGTGAGATGGAATGATAAGTTTAGATCATCTTTATTAAATTAAATTAAACTCAATAGGAGTTATTATAATATTAGAATTATATTAGTAAAAAAAGAAGAAAAAAAAAAATTTGAAATGAGGGTTGAACCCTAGACCTCAAGGTAATCTCTAAAGTATCTCTATCTTATTTGAGTCTTATCCACTTTATCAACCTGATAACCCATGACCATTTCTTTTCTTCTTCAGCTATTCTTTCGGCTTTTCTCATAAAGGCTAGGAAACTCTAGCTTTAGGAAAGATTAAGGTAAGAAAAACTTAATTCTTCCATTATATACTTAGGGTTTCGGCTTTATAAATTATAGATCAATTTTTCTAATTGCCAATTGCCTTT